TTTGTTTTCTAACTAATTCGTTTTAGGACCAGGTGTTGTCCACGGAAATTCCCAAAATTTACAACTTTTCGGTCACTCTCGTCGAACTGGAAAAATGTCTGTCTTTATTACATCTAATATTTCGAAGAAATCAGTCCCACTGTACTCGGCTAGAGATTGGTTCAGTTAGGCTTTTTCTAATATGGAGATTCTGGTTGGATTCGTGCCGGCGCTTCGAAGTGGACTCGCCAACTAAAACAGCGGTGCCTGCGGTGCCAGCAGAGTTGTCACCGCAGGTGGCATCCCTGCCTGTAACCTAGGCGGGGTTGGAACCCCGCCCACGCGCGTCTCAACAGATAAGGCCATTCATATACTGGCCACACGCTTGCAATTAAAATATCGAAAAGTGAAAAAAAATATTTTTTCCTTTAATTTTCTTTACCACTGAGGCGCCCCCTAGGACTTAGCGCCTGGAGCGGCTGCTCAGTTCGCCCTATGGTAGGGCCGGCTCTGCATGCTTGTACAATGTGGTGGCTACATAAAACTTTAAACACTCAAAATTTCTGATTAGTACATCATCTGAAAAAATGTTTTAGATAAAAGATTGTTTATTTTTGATGTAGAATCACAATGTACAGTAAAAGGAGGTGGTTCCCATTTAAGAGAGAGAAGTTGATCCCATTTTCACCAATTCTAGTGCCATCTATGATGAAACTGACAGTTCCATTTCTGGCCCTCTTATAGTTTAATATTTTTGATTTTATGACTTTTTTGTAGAAACATATTTTTCAAGTTATTCCACTAAATTAATTAAAGTGGTCCAACCCATATAATTATTACATTACAGATAGTAACAATAGTCACTATTTACCATCCATATTCTATAATTATATATGTTAGGCTCAAAGACTAAAAATTTAATACCAATATTTTAAAAATTAATACAATAGTTGCATTTTCTAGATTATAATGCACACTTTCTTTTTTCTGACTTAATTCAACTTGGTTGTTTTCATTTGTTCCTCAGTTATGTGTATTACATCATCGATATACAAGCACGTCATATCTCTACATCACTTTGGTTTTTGGTATTCATTAGTTTAATCTTATTTTAACTTTAAAAATACTGTATTTTTTAAAAATATTTTCTAAAGTATAATAGGAAAAATTATTAATCTATATATATAATCGAGACGAGTTGATAATAATAATCAGCGCAGAGCCCAAACGGTTAGGAGTTGGAAGCTGAAATTTGGTACACAGTTAGGGTACGTCACGAAAACGCACACTAAGAAGGGATTTTTCGAAATGCCCTCCTGGGGGAGAGGGACAGGATTAAGCTTAACACTTCCATCAACAATAGAAGTGTTAAGTAACAATGAAAGTGTTACATAACAATGGAATTGTTAAGAGAAAGCGACGTTTTAAGAGAAAGTGCAGTTGGTTTTCATTTTTGCAGGAAATTGAAGATATTTTTAGACCCATGTAAAAATTCTCTAATTAGTCTGGAAACGGGGGATTCAATTTTTGCATTCTGTGAAAATGGGTAAGGTTGACTATAACGTCATAATCTTAATCTTCGCTATCGTTACTTTTGCCCGAGCAACACCGGGTCCACCTGCTAGTTAATAATAAAACGATTTTATTATTATTTTTTCATTATACAATTTCATTACATTCCTCGATTGTCATTGCGGAATCGAAAAAGGAAGGTTGCCTGTAAAACTGATTTTTGCATTAATGCGTTTATTATTTTTTGAATATTTTGCGTGCAAAAATTACTTGGATATAATTTTTCTAAAAATATTGTGGAAATAAGGTAGGTTGATACAGAAACTATTTATCACACATGTACTGTATATGAGCTTCAAAATAAATAAATAAATAAAAATAAATTTTATCAAACGATGAGATCAGCTGATTAATTGTATCATGTACAATATTTTATACCCCCCAAGGAAAATATTGTAGGTCTACAATAAAATAAATTTCGTTTTCCCACAGTTAAACTTTGCTGCTAATTGCTGTTGTGATAACTTTAACACGATCTTCTAAAGACAGCACTTTGCATTTCTTTCATTTTTTAAACAATTTCGAACAAACTGAAATAAATTTCCTTTGTTGCCAGACTAATTTATTAACACCTGCACCTAATTTCAAGGGTGGGAGAAGTGCCTGAGGTGGGTTCAAATGAGAGTTTAAATCAATTCATCATATTAGGAGGGGGGGAAACATTGTTGAACAATAGTTTAGACCAGATATATTTGCGGAAGTGGTCACTTATTACAGTTGTTGTATGTTGTTTTGGACCAAAAATCGATGCCTGCAGTTGCATTACACAGGTGGTCATTTAATACAGGTAACTTATACGAAGACTGTATGGATAAACTATTTGTTGCCAGAAATTTTTGCCATTTTCACAGATGCCCGTTGAATGCAGGTGGTCACCTAAGCAGTTTTCACTGTATATGTAATTAGAGCTTTAGCACTTTTTAGCAAAACAAAAGAAACAAATGTGTATTCTTCTCCATATATTTTATCTTTGAAATTTTTTTAAGTATGAAAATTAAATTTCTAGGAAAACTTGTAGAACTAATGTTGTTCGGCATTAAAAATTGTAAATAAAAATATTTCAAGCCTAGAATCCGTATTTTAAAGTTACAAACCACTGTGTGTTGTATGATCCTGTATCGTGGTTGCATCATCGGCTAACGTTCAGAATGCATTATGGCTTTTCTTAATCACCACAGCGTGTAGTGGTCAAATATCATGAAAGCCATGACGTAAATTTTGCTTCATGGCCATTTTGAAACGACCACAATGCATTGTGGCCATTTTTTTTTTTTTTATCAATAAGCGATTTCAGTCTTTTAGCCTAACACAATAATATATCTTATGAGAAAAATTACAAAATAAAATTTTAAAAACTTACTTGAAGAAATAAATAAAATCCAACAACAAATACCCCAACACAAAAAAATACATCAAATGCAGCTTTGTAGTAAAACATGGACAACTAGAAAATTTTAAATAAATTTAAAAAATAACTAAAGCTATTTTTGATTATTATAAATTATGTATATCAAAATTATTATTGATTTTTATAAATAATTACCATATTAAATATTCCTAAAAAAATCCATAATTTGTTAACTTGAAATTTCTTAACAATGTTAAAAATGTTTTTGTCAATATAAAAACAGGAACATTTGAATTCTCGTATCCATAATAAAAACATTTTTATCAATATTGAAAAAGAAAGAACAGATGTCACTTGTAAAACTAAAACTGTAAGAAAAAAGAATAGTAATAAAAATCAGTTATATATATATATATATATACATTATAAAATGAATTACAATAAAAAAGATAATTTATTTTGTTTAATATAAACCAAAAAAGAATAATTTCTCATAAAGAACTACATTGAATTGAAAAATTCTATACTTATGATTTTCTTTAATAGTTTAATGTTAGGATGTTAGGTGATACAACTCAGGGATACATCAAACAGAATGTGGTTGCCAGCACCAGAGATCCCAAACACTATCTGGCAACACTTGCCAACGAGAGTTGGCTGGCAATATCGAAAAGAAAAAGGCATGAAAGTTCGTTGGATATGCCCGGGTGTTGCCCAAGGATGTTGGTGACAGTTCAGACCTTTTTAATAAAGATTTTTTGTTACTGTTCATGTTTGACTGCTTAGTGTTAGTTCTAAAGATCAGTAGGATTGGATGACAAAAGATATATGATCTACACAGTTATATGCAGTGGATCTATCCAGTGGCATACCGTAGTGGGGGCAACAGGGGCGGTCCGCCCCGGGCGGCACATTTTAGGGGGGCGGCAAAATTTCACAATAAATAATAATAATATCTTGTAAATATTTGAAACATCCTAATTTAAACTTGCATCGCGCTTACGATAGTGCTATCATCCGAACAATCCAGAAATCGGCTCGCCGTCCTGGTGAACTAGTAATTTTTTCATCCGAGGAAATCCTGCGAAACCTGTTGACCGTTTTTTTTTTTTTTTTTTTGCTTGTACGATTCATTCGCGTGCATATACACCACTAATATCCAATAAAACTATTTTAAACAAGTCGCTGCACTATCGCTGAATTTTTCATTGCTTGTTCTGTGACAAAACTGAATTTTGGTTTTTTAACTTGAAATACCTAAATAAGGGGGGCGAAATTTTCCTCCGCCCCGGGCGGCTCACACCCACGGTACGCCACTGGATCTATCATATGTAGATAAGTGGAACAAGTGATGCAGACAGGAAGTTCAAGGAAACAATTGCACCCCCTGTTATTAATATTCATTTCTTTAACAATTGAAATTTGTTTACATGTAAGTGTAAAGTAAACTAAAGAAAGTCACTGCATAAATATAAATTTAAACTGTACAACCTGTAGTTTTCAAATATTTAATAACATAATAAAATATGATTTTTGCCTTTCACATTCATATGAAACTAATGACCCAAACTGTATTTATGATTTGTTCAATGATTTATGGATGTAATTTATGGACAGTCCATTAGTGTCTTCAAAGCAGAAAGAATCAAAAATAAAATAAGCCAGCAACAAGTTGCTCAACTTTCCTGGCAACATTTGGTGACATCATCTGTTATCATATTTTATTTTAAATGTATCTCAGAGTATAATAATGCTTGACTATTAGCTTAATCATAAATAAAACTTTCATTGCATAAAATGAACTATAAAACAAAAATTTAGCAATAGTGACATTTGAACTCCATAACATTTAAAACACTACTAGTTTTTCTTTTAATAAGTAAGATATCCTCACAAGTTTTACTTATTTGTTCAAAAATACTATTCTAGAATATGACAATGATAAAATAAGACTCTATACAACTAAAAACTGGTGCGAAGTACAGCTAAGCAATAAAAAACAAACGTTTTCATAACCCTTCTGGGTTCTTTCTCAGGTTTTCTTAATTCTAAATAAGATGGATCTTCCAAATTCAATCAAGAATATAAAATTTGAATATAAAATCAAACAGTAAGATGAAGAGTTCAAATGAAGAAATTTATGACATGGAATGCATGTGCAAAATTCCTTCAAACAGTTATGAAAATGTTTGTTTTATTGTTATTGCTTAGCCATACTTTGCACCGGTTATTGGTTGTAGAATGTCTTATTTTAAAATTATTTGATTACTATTTAAGATAAATTATTATGATTATATTAATTATTGTATTTGTTCTATGGTTTATTCAGTGATTTCACATGATTTATTATTTATATAATAGATTTGATTGGTATAAACAAGTCATAATCAATAAAATATGTAACACATAATTTTACATATTCTGCATTGCAATTTTATTCAAATATTTTCCATATTTCTTACAGTACAGTAGAACCTCGATTATCCGGACTAATTGGGGATGAAGGTAGTCCGGATAAGGAAAAATCCGGATAATCGAAACAAATACTTTAATTTGTCTTTTAATGATAATACAACACGTTTTCTTTTCGATGACATATCGGTAATATTAAAAGTAAATACTGTATTTAAATCGTGATCAAATTTTCAAGAAACAAACGTTCGTATTGAATTTGGACTACTACTGACCAACGCTAACAGACTACCTATTGTTTAAAAGGCCCTCTGGTGGCGCAAGAAGACGGATTTTATAAAATAAAAAGCAGTTGAAACTGCATTTTTATGAATAAAAATTTGACAAACTATTTATCGTTTTATGACGAGTAAAATTTTTTCGTCGCGTTCGCGGCTTTTAAGTAATGCATAAACCTTCGAGGCGCGAGGCCCTTCGGACCGCGAGGCATAGGCGGTGGCCCACGTCGTCCATGCCTTACGCCGCCCTTGGTCATAGAAATGATGTAATTTGAATATAAATTATTTATAAATACGTATGTCAAGTTATATTTTTATTACTACGTAAAATATATTTAAGAGTTTACGACCACTGTGCTGGGTGAGACGTTGTTGAAACAAAAAAAGTTATGCATTCCATCACGTACATAAACAGTGTCGTAATTCGCCAAGTGCAAATCAGCAAATTCGTAAAATTTTTGTTTATTTTGAACAATCCGGATAATCGAAAATCCGTATAATGGAGGTCCGGATAATGGAGGTTCTACTGTATTTTATTTGCATCCCCATCACTAAATTTCTGGCTGTACTACTGGCCCTTTAAAGATATCAAAGTAAAAAAACTATATATAAATGTAAATCAAATGTATATAAGTGATCTGTTTAAACACAAGCATTGTAATACTGTAAAATATAAAAAAAGAATACTAAACTATACTTTGCATCACAATAGCCCTGACCAGCCATACAGCATTTTTCCAAATCTGGGGAGCTTGACCAATAGAACAAAAAACATTTAATATTTTTAATTAGTAATAATATAACAATTTTAATCCTGCACCTATGCACAATAAGACAAAAGAAGATATTTGGTATAACCCAAATTGTTAGTTTACTGAATACAGCATAATTTAATATAATTTTATCTTAGATAAGGTGACTACAATTTCTTCATGAACCTGGGACCAAAGTATCTTTTACTTGACCATTATTATATTTATCATTATATTTTCTACCTTGTGATTTTTTATGCTTTTTATCAAAATTAACTTGGAGATTTGAAGTGGATGTCTTGTACATAAGTACAGTATATCCCTAGAGGTAACTAAAAAAAAAATTGAATATTGAATGCAAATGAGAAAAGATACAGAAAATTGATCTAAGGAAAAATTTAATTACCGGTATTATTATCGATTTAGAAAGAAAAGATTGATGATTTATGTCAAACTAATAAGATCATTGATTCTTAAATGGCTTCAAGAAATTTGAGTGATATGCTATAAGTCACTTAAATCTGTAGTAATAAATAGTTAATCTTATTTTCACTAATGCATATTAATTTAACCAGGTTTAAATGTTAACACTACAGTACAATAAAACTATTTATACATATTTTTGTTTAAAATTTTCTAGTAAGTTTAAAAACTTACCTACTACATTGTCTGATGTTATCATTTCCCACAGTACTCCTGTATATAATATAAATGAAGCAACAATAAGAGATACCATAATCAACAGATTGTGAATTCTTTCATTTTTCATATTTCTGCATTTCAAACTATTATAAACAAACCATTATAGAAAAACAAAATATTGATTAATTAATATATTAAACTGAATTTTATAGTAAAATCACAAATAAAAATAATCTTTACTTGTTTGTCTTGTCTTATGATGATAAGGTTATGGCTAATGCACCTTACTCTCCAAATACAATTTCCTAGGATTTGCAGTTATATCAACGTGTAAGAAATGGACAGTGTCATGATGGTACACTTAGCCCCCTATTACAGTATACTGAATTGGCAAAAGTGCCCACTTTATTTATTTACAACCTTTAATTATATCATTCTTATAATTCTAATTGCACAGCATTAGCATATTGCTACTTATTTTGAAGTTCAATACTTATTACATAAGTACATATAAAATATGGCATTTTTGAAATCTGAAAATAAAATTGATAACTTTAACATTTTAATCAATAAATTAATTTCACATTTAACTAAAAAGATAAAAACAGTTGCAAAAATTCAAATTACATAGTAAAATGAATGTAATCTATTTAGAAATCACGAAAGAAATTTCTAACAAGTAAGAAATGAGTTAAGACAAAGCACACTTTACAGATTACATATAACAGATTTCTCATCCACGTGATCTAACTCCTTATAAAAATAAATACTGTATTAATAATCTTTAAATATTCAATTTGTAAGAGAATGTAAAACGTCATAAAATTCAATTTTTTTTTTTTTTCAAAATTAAACATTATTATTGCATTGTGAAAACAAGTATTTAACACAACTTCTTCATCGCGGAAAAATTGTTAAAGAGAAAATATTAATACATACGTACACAAATACGTGTATTTAATAGATTCATATCTGCAATTGTGCCTTCATATAATTTCTGTTAAAAGACATTAAAGTACATTACCTATCTTTCTCATCCACACTCAGTAAACAGATACACATTTCCTACGGATTGCATTACAGAGGCACAACACATGTAACACGCTTCAGTACTCGGAAATAATGAGCAATGTTGCCACGCCGATTTGCTTGCCATCGGTAGATTACTTGGGCAATTTTCAGTAGATTTCGGTAGTTTTTTGGTAGATCGACTTTTTGTGGCAGTAAGGGGGTTGCACATAAACAATAACACTTTTTTCGTTATTTATTTTATTATAAACTATAAAAAACAACAAAAAACTAACACAGAACACTTACATAAAAAAATAATAATTTACTAATTTAAGTAGGTATATTTTGTCTTCTTTTTCTAACAAAAAATTACCTTTTATTTATCGGATATTAATAATAATAATTATTATTATTCAATATCTTCCGTTTGTATGTTTTTTAACACACTGTTTGTTATTTTTGAAATTAAATTATCTTTTACAGGAAAATCGTAACAGTAATTTTTTCCAATTAATTGTTTAGTTAAAAGTAAGCCAGTAATTGTTTCAGAGCTCAGTTTATTTCTTTGTTTCGTTTTTAACAAATTTATTGACGAAAATATTCTTTCCACATTAGCTGAAGAATGAGGCAGACACAAGATATTCTCAACAAAACGAGACAACACTGGAAAAACAAGTGTTTTATCGCCTAGAGTAATAGTTTTAATATTTTGCCAGAAAACTTGCACATCATTGCTAAATGATTGTATTTCTTGATTATTTCTTAATAGTCTCCATTCGGAATCTAAACTTTGAAGCTCGCGATCAGTTATAAGATTAGGAAATAACAAGGCAACATCTGTAATTGTATGTATAGTCCCACTTTTGACAACGGTTGGGTTCAAAAAACGAAATTTTTTTATAGAGTTGTTTTTAAGAGGAAATCTAGCAGTAATTTGGGTGCAACCTTCAATGTAAAAATCCAAACAACGTAGTCGAAAAAATTTAATCTGTTCATCTGTAAGGTTCAGTCGCGTCATTGAAGCGACGACTTTTGCTCCAAAATACATGTTTTCTATAGCTAAATAATTTCTTGGATTTTTAAAATCAATATTTTCGATNTGATTTATTTATCGTTTTTATTTTAGTAATTTTTAAAATATAATTATTTCATTTTTTTTAAATGCAATTTTACTGTTTTGAATTACTGTTCTGGTGTTAAATTAAAGTGGGATTACACTTTAAGAAGTAGCTGGCTATAAACGTGTTTTCATGTAGCTAATTACATATTATTCGGTTTTATTTTACATTATCATTTCTTTTTTATATTAATTCTCGGAGAATCTTTTGCTCATTCGTTAGCAAACGGCATTATCAAGAAACTACTTTTGTACTGTATTTTATTTTAATTTATTTAAAATAACAAAAGCGGAAGAGAAGAGGACATGAAAACGCTATAACAGAAAATTTCTTTCAATTCAAGCTTCTTGTCTCAAAATGTATTCACATTAGGATTCCTCAATCACTAAACTCGTAGAGATATATGTGCAGACTTATTACACTGCTGTTAGGAACATCACAATGACATTTTGATGTTTGATAAGCAACTTTTATTATTGATATACATTACGGTCACGAAGACTCTCCTCAGCCATACTGTACATGAATATAACTGTAAAATTGCAGCAGATCTATTACTATAAAAATCCGGCATAATGTTATCCATTATATATCTAAAAGTATTCAAATTTCTATTTTCTACTCCTCCTCTTCTCGTTCAGCCATTTAGCGTCTTGGCTAGAGATTAATGACTTGTTTATAATGCTGTTTGCTAACTAATAAACAAAGCATTCTTCGAGAAACGATTTAATTTAAACAAGTGAAGACATAAAAAAATAGCCAAACAACTAATTTGTTTCTTCGTTTTACTTTCCTGGCTGTTATATGAGAGGGGAAAGTATGGCGATTGTGAGGTCAGCCGATTAGGGGTGAGGTGTTTTCGACAGCCGAGCGGTCAATACTGTCGTGTGGGCGCGGAATGACTCACAGAGACAGGTTTACCATATAAAACTGTTTAATAATATACATAAATCGTTCTTACAACAATCCAATAAGTCGGACAAGAGCCTATCCAACGATGGGTTTCTGTAACAGTTCCCAAAAATCGGAAAGTTCGAATGCTCGATCGGTCCCTGGGGAGCTTTCAGCACTGTGGACGCAGAGAACGATGGCCCCGGGGCACGCACCAGCACTTGTAGTGATGTCTTCGGTTGACAAGTCGAACCTCGGCGATTCTAGAGTGGACGGGTTAGCGAAACCAGTTCCTAGGTCGTCGAAAGAGCCTTCGTTGTGTCTCGGTCGGGACCACCAAATTCCGACAGGTGAGCACTACACACCAAAAACCAAGCCCCCGTAAAATTCCCGAAAACGCGGTTTTATCGATTTTTCCACCGCGGTCGCCTCTCCATTGGTCTCTCCTCGTCACATGGTGACAATTCGAAACTTCAGGAAGGGCGCGGGAGAGGTCAACGTCGCGTCAGAACACGACTCCTCTCCAACCTCGTTTTCTTCGACTTTATCTATTGTTTAAAATCTTTTAACAAGACAAAAGGTTCATTGTTTAAATCCGATCTTTAAGTTCGCTCTTTCGCCCTACGAAACTTGACTCATTTAAAAAGTCGTTAATGGCCTCCTTTCGGACCCCGTTTGGGTCCTCACACGATCGGTCAAAAAATGACCTCGCAAGATTTTTACATTTTTGGGCTTAGGACACCTTTTAAAACGTCGAGAAATGAAAAAAAATTTTGGGTATAATTTCTGTATGCATGGATGTTAGTGTGTGTGCGGCACGATTTGTTCACTTTGTTTAAAGCTTAATAATTCCCATGCTTTTCGTCGAAAATTTCTGAAATTTTGCAGGGAGGTTTGTTTATTAGGGGAATTACTCCTATTAAATTTTGTGGTTAAAGGTAGAAGGGTGGTGGAGATAATGGGGGTCGTGCATATCTCTAGTATCATAGGACTTATTGACGATTTTATTCGTTACTAGCGTTTACAATTTTTTTTTAAATAAAATCCATCCCTTTCTTCAAAATCAAACTTTTTGCCATTTGAAATAGTTAAAAATATTAAAAATTTTAAAAATAAAATATGATAACAGATGGCGTCACCAAATGTTGCTGGGAAAGTCGAGCCACTGGTTGTCGGTTTATTTTATTTTTGGTTCTTTCCACCTTGAGGGCACTAAGGAACTGTCCTTAAATTACGTTCGCATTTTTCTTGAAATTTTTATCCCCCCTCTCCCATCGTGCCAATTTGTCCAAGTTTCCGTAACCCCTCCACTCTTCGGACATCCAACAAAGCTCAATCCCCCTTAAAACTTTTATTATTTTATGAACTATATATACCATAACTAGAAACGGTGGAATTACGTCCAAATTGTTTTTATAAGATTGCAATCTTTCTAGTGAGTTATAACAGTGTTTTCATAATACAGTAAAGCATCGATTATCCGACCCCCGATTAACCGTCACATCGGTTAACCGATCGTTCTAGTTGGCAAATTTAAAATGTCCGTTAGTGATGTGGCGCTACAATATTTGGCTATGTCTTGGCTACTTTAATATTATTTTTGTTAAATTTTTGCGTGTTTTAGCTTGGGACACGGCTCGACCATTAAAGGGAGGCCAGTATTTAAACGAGACTTAATTTTCTAATTATGAGTGGTTGTTTGTTTTGTGAGCAATAAAATAATTTAAAAATAATTTTTAACGATACGATAGCGACGATTATTATTTTTTAAAAAAATTTGTTAGGCTTAACATCGATGAAAATTCAATGCGAAGTCGGTTAATAGCGATATACTAATTACATGGGATATACTAATAATGTATTTTTTTCATTTTTTTCGGTTATCCGATTTTTCAGTTATCCGACCAACCTGAGTCCTCAATTGAGTCCGATAATCGATGCTCTACTGTAACTCAATTGAAAAATAAAACTACAGCTGTTTTTCGCGAGTTTTGCACTTTTCAATTTCAACAATCTTTTTATAGAAAATCCTGAAATTTTGCACACTACTTAAAAAAAACAATTTTTTTAAAAATCAAATATTCAAAATTATTTTAGGCATTTGGGAAGGAAGAAAAACTTCGAAAATCAGTAACTCTGATTCCTGTACTATACTGGTACATGTACATATACTGTAGTTAGCCAGTGATATTTTTTACTTGGCGCTGAATCACTGCCATAACTGCCAATTTTATCGAATGAATCTTCGTTTAGAAGCAGGATGTAAATTTGAATATGTTCTCAGTATAATTAAACTATTTCAAATATAATGCAACTTTAGAAATACAGAGTTTCTTAAAAATAGTATAAATGCCAATGGCAAATATCAGTGGCAGAAATGGAAAGGAGACTCTGATCAGAGTCGGTAGATTAACTGGTCTTTTGACTACCTATTTTCGGTCGTTGCTAAAATCAACTAGAGACAAATGTTACCACCAGGGGCATTGCAGTCACTTCAAGAGCGTTAGGTCGAATCGCTGTGAGGACTAATGTTTTCTTTTTATTGAAAGATATATAACCTTCGAGTTCGACTTCATAATTTTCTATATGAATTTAATTATAAGAATGAAAAAGCTTTTATTTAAACTCAAAACCAGGTTTATGGATAAATAAATGACACTTAATAAAACATTAAAGTAAATGACACTGAATTAATTTAATAATAACTATAAATAAATAAATGATACGTAATAAAACATTAAACACCTTCCATCGCTGAGAAATGTTTATTTAATAAAACACTAACATTTTCAGCCTCATGAAATAAACCATCCTCGGGTGTAAATGACTTCGAACGTATTTTATTAAATAAACATTTCTCAGCGATGGAAGGTGTTTAATATTTTATTAAGTGTTTTAAAAACGCTGAGTTTGATATTTAGTTAAATAAATGACAAGGAACAAAACTGACATAATAATACAACTATTAAATTGTGCTATTATATCAATTTATTATACGTTAAAAATTTATATACATACAAACAAATTATATTATACATAATAATAATAACAATTATTATTTTTTGTAATAACTCAGGATGTATTTCTTCATAATTTGAAGTTTAGACTATTTACAAAAAGTCAAAATAACTTTTGAGTTTATCTTTATCCTTTTTTTACACTACCACAGAAGTAACAGTCTTAAAAAATTTGCTTTGAAGAACTCTTCTTAAACACAGGTAAAAATTGGTAAAAAAAACTTCACAAGGTTAAAAAGTGTCAGCCTTTTCTTGTAGGTTTCTGACACTTTTACAATTAAAAACACAAAGAAATTCTTCACCATTTTCTTCTTCTTCTTGCAGGTGTTAATATGGAGATTATAGCTCAAATAGGCTCTTTCTCCGATAGACTTCTGTATGATCGCTATGCGACCGATGAGCCAGCCGTACCTGAACGGCCTAATCGCGCGCGCGGGAAATAATGCCTTCCGGGAGGACTTTTATGGGGAACTGGCCTCCTATTCAGTCGTTATTGGCAAGGAGAAAACCCGGAAAACTCCAAGCAGCCAGCCTGTCCGACCGTGGCGCGAACCCACGACGAACCTCCCAGTCTTTAGGGTCTGGTCCTTCACCATTTTCATTTTTATCGACTTTTTAAACTGCTTCTGGCCCTCTGGTAGTAGTTACGAGTATCTACATTATTTGCATATGGTTACAATTTTTGTAATAACTCAGGATGTATTTCTTCATAATTTGAAGTTTAGACTACAGTATTCCTCCGGCAGATGAAGTACATGCCCTGCAAAACGCATTCTACCCGCTGTCCTGTAGTTCATGTAGGTCACTTCTTCTGAAAACTAATGAATAATAACATAAGACTAAAACATATGAATAATAACATATTAAACAAAATATAGGCTAAAACACACACATACATACAGAATTTTATTCCTTCTTTTTCTGATGTTTTTGTAATTAGATAATCGTACAACGCCAAGAAAAACGGAGGATCAAAGTTTGACCAATGACAATATTTTCCCGGAAAATACTAACAGATAATGTTTGGTAAGTTGTTAAATAAACCGAATTTCGATGCATTTACTTGTAGCCAACTTTAC